TAAAGCTGTTTCCACAACGTGTTTTACTCAGAATCTTTCGTTTACTCATAGACGTTTCAAATGTTAAATTTTTTCATGTGTTTGGTTGTAGGTGCTTCATCATGAATCTCAAAGATAATCTTTCGAACTTTCAATCTAAGGCTGGTGAAGGAGTATTTTTGGGATATTCGCACAATTCGGTTGCATATCGAGTGTTAAATAAACGAACACGAAAAGTTGAAGAAACATTCAATCTTACTTTTGATGATTATTATCTTAAACAAATTGACAAACTCTTCGAACAAAAGCCAATCATTAATGAATCAAATGATGAAACTGAAATTATAAATTCATCTGATTTTGATTATGATTTAATTTTTGGTGGTCCTGACGGGGCAATAGATGTTGAGGTTCGTGCGAATGATAATAATCAATCATATTCTTCGCAGCATATTGAACGATCGGCTATTACCTAAATTCCTGATGATACTTTTTCAACATCAAATTCTCTAAGAAATGGAGAAAGCATGCTAAATAATCTAGTGGAGGGGGAACACTTGGATACGAACACTCATGTTGAGGGGGAGCATTCTTTCGAGGGGGAGAACGGGAGAATGCACGAAGATGTTGAGGGGGAGCAACATAATCTAAATAGCAGTGATACAATAAGTCTTGATCTAAATGATGAAATTCACGAATTTAATGATAATCTTTCTATTGCCGGATCAGAAAATGAAGATTTATACAAAGATGCATATTTAGATTTTGATCCAACTTATCCACCACTCGAAAAATGGACAAAAGATCATCCAAAAGAACAAGTACTTGGGAATCCGCATGATGGAGTTTTAAATAGAGCTGAACTTCGTGCAAAGAATGAGGTGTTAATGCTCATCAAGAATTTTGCATGTTCAATGTTTTCATTTCGAAAATTGAACCAAAGTCAATTATGGATGTAATGGAACACCATGATTGGGTTGTTGCAATGCAATCTGAATTGGTTGAGTTTGAACGAAATAAAGTTTGGAGATTAATTCCTAAACCTGAAAATATTTCGATTGTCGGGTTAAAATGGATTTTCAAAAATAAAACCGACAAAGATGGAAACATTATTCGAAACAAAGCCAGACTTGTTGTAAAATGTTACTCACAACAAAAGGGAATAAACTATGAAGAAACTTTCTCCCCTGTCGCAAAACTCGAGGCAGTTCGTATATTTTTGGCTTATACAGCTCACAAAGACATCAATGTATATCAAATGGATGTGAATTGTGCTTTTTTGAATGGAGAGCCCAAAGAAAAGTTTATGTGGAACAACCCCCAAGTTTTTTCAATAAAGATCATCCTAATTATTGTTATATTTTAGATAAGGCAGTTTTTGGATAAAAACAAGCACCAGGAGCATGGTATGTAACTCTTACCTCTTTCTTAAAACAATCAAAATTTAAACAAGGATCAGTTGACCCCACATTATTTCGAAAGAAAGTTGGGAATCATCTTATGCTTGTTCAAATTTATGTTGATGATATTATTTTTGGCTCTACTAACCCTGCATTGTCTAAAGAATTTGAAAATCTTATGAAAAGCAAATTTGAAATGAGCATAATGGGAAAAATTAATAATTTTCTTGGTCTTAATAACTTTATTAACCAGGAAAAGTATACGAAGAGTTTGTTTGAAAAGTTTGGATTAACGAATAGCACAAAGTTACGAGTACGATGGCAACTGGAACAAGGCTAACACCTTCGTTAGACAAACCTGTAGTTGACTTAAACTTTATCGAAGCATGATAGGTTCATTACTTTATCTCACTGCAAGTAGATCTGATATCATGTTTTCTGTGTGTAATTGTGCTAGGTACCATTCAAATCCTCGAGAACCACATCTTACTACAGTCAAGAATATTTTTCATTATCTCAAAGGCCCAATTTCGTTAGGATTGTGGTATCCTTCGAAAACTGGTTTCTTTATTCAAGCTTTCTCAGATGCTGACTTGGGTGGTTGCAATCTTGATCGCAAAAGCGCAAGTGGAGGATGCCAATTAATGGATGGGAAATTAGTGAGCTGGCAATCAATGAAGCAAACATGTGTATCAATTTCGACTGTTGAAGCTGAATATGTAGCTACTGCTGCTTGCACATCACAAAAAATTTGGATTCAAAGTCAATTGCATGATTATGCAATCAACATGAAAAAAAATTCCATTATATTGTGAGTCTCAAAGTGCAATTTGTATTTGTCATAATCCAGTGCAACATTCGAAGACTAAGTATATTGCTCTTCGTTATCATTTAATAAAAGATCATGTAGAAGATGGTAATATTGAAGTGCATCTTGTGAAAACCACTGATCAGTTGGCTGGTATTTTCACAAAATCATTAGTTGAAAAATCGTTTGTGACAATTTTAGGTGGACTTGGAATGTTCGAAGGGGGTTCAATTTCGAAAGAAAAGTGATACCGGGGGACAACTGTAAAATTCAACAGTTACTGTTCATAGTCAACGCTTCGCTACCATTCGTCTTAGTAAATTGAAACTGAAATTTTTTTGTGTCCAGTACATTTCAAATATTTTCGTCAAGTAATTTTTATTTTCAAAAATTTCACAAACAACAAAAAGATTTTTCATTTGTTTTGTCCTTTATTTTTGAAATTTTCAAAAAAAACAAAAAGATTTTTGGTTTGTTTTTTTTATTTTCGAAAAATCAAAAATCACAATAATATTTTGTTTTGTATTGTTTTGTTTTCATATTTTGTTTCAGGTAACAAAGCTGATTCTCAATGGTTAATGCTTGCAGTTCTAGGGTCAGATAATTCTTTTGAAACTCCTGAACTAGTTAAGTTGTCCCTAGAAGCATGTTGCAGCATGTTGACCAAAGTCTCAAATGACTCTATGTGTGTTTAACGAAAGCCTTAATGAAATATTTCATACGAAAATTTCTTCCCAAGACAGGCTTATATTCACATTAGTCACGTGAGCTACCTGACCCTTCTCACATGAGTTAAGAGTTTACTGTTTTGTCCATCATAACAAAGGTACACACGAATTCTTATACCAATCTTTTTCATCTAAATATTGTTACACGATCACACACAAAGACATATGTCCAAGAGGTCTTCGACCAAACCCATCGAGACTTATACATAACAAAAATCCGTGTTAATGATCTGACATCATGAGACCGTGATGAAAGTGAAACCTAATTTTCTAAATTTTAAGGAATTGACGGGGAACTTTGCTCAAGTTTTTAACAAAATTCTTGTTTCCATACCGAGATTCGAAACTCCAAATCATATTCATTTCGTATGAGTGATCTTGATCAAATTATCGGAACCCACGATGTTTGTTACCCAACAGGATCCAGAACAAATTTTTTTAATGAATATGATTTCAGTGTGAGTTTCCTTTGATTTCTAAGTCACTTTCAAATTTACTTCAAAGCATAGTTGTCACTGACTACACTGGTCAAACAAGTGGTTTCTGTTACAATTTCTCACCTTATGTTTTGGATGATATGTAACGAAGTCATGTACCCACCCATTAAGCCTTGAAAAAGAAGCCCTTCGAAACTTCTCAATAAGTTTTCGATTGTCATTTATGAGAAACCACATAAGTAGTTGATTAGCTGTCTTGATAATTAATGAAGTAACCTTTTCCCGGGGTTTAACTGCTTTTGTGTCGAAATAATTTTGACATAAAAAATCCAAAATTTTTCTTTATTTGCTTCTTCTCTTTTTCTTTGGCACACTGCACTCACGAAATCCTTGAGGTTCTGAGTAATACCAACTCAAGCTGATGATTTCAACAGTCTGGCACATGAATTCGCTTTAAATCTCAAAAGTGAAAGACCCTAACCCCCATCCGAAGGTTTCTGACGGTTCATATTACATTGGGGGAAATCAACAGGCTGTGAGAAGTGACGTCTTGTATTCTTTCCGATTTTCAAGGAGAATTGACAGTTACTTTTTCACACGTGGCTACATTATCGGAATAGTGGTGCAAGTTTCAAGGTGCCACATCGGATTCATTAAATGCACATCCCGCTTCAAATTCAAATCCCATGGTTACATATAAAAAGTAATTCACGGGTTTGTTATCAGTTTACGCTTTCATAAGAAACTTTCCAAAATTCTCTCTGAAAAATCCAATTGTTCTTTAAACGATTTTACAACCCTAGTTATGGCTGATCAAACTCATGTTGATGCACCATCATAAACCACTGAAGATGTTACTTCTCAACCAATAATGAAGATTCAAGGAACGAATTATCAAGTAGAAGGGGATGAATCTTAATACCCTGAAGGATTGAAGATGTTGGTCATTGCATTGAAGAGCTGTATTCTTTCAACAACTATTTTCAACTCCTTTACAGTACCTATGTCCTGTGTTTCTCAAGCAGGTTCTACTACAACATATTTTAAAACCCTCGATGTCATTACCTTCAACATGGTGAATGATAAGAAGGTACGATTAACAAAGAAGTTGTTCTGTCAAATTTTAGATATTCCGAACTCCCAACCGTTTACTACTCTATCAACTGATTAAGTGAACTACATGTTCAACGAGATGGGTCATCAACCCCCATTCACCAAGATTAGTGATTTTAAAAAATCTGGTCTTCCGACGACCTAAATTTCTTGTTTGGAATTTTTCTTCGATGCTTAACAGGTTGAAGTGTTGGGCTAGATAAAGGAAGAATGGAAGTATATGCAATGGTTGCAGGCAGATATTATGATATTCCGGTGGACTACTCTACGCAGCTATGGAAAGAATTTCAAAATAGCGTAGAAAATACGAATATAGTGCAAGGAATTTCATGTGCATGATATTAGATTCTTATCCTCATGTATTTTTATGATAAAGAGGGTATTCTGGTGGATGTTGAGGAGGAAACAGCAAATTTTTTGAAGTATAATTTTCCAAAGGAAGTATGATGATCAGGAAATCATTTCACATGTTGAAAGAATCCCAAATGCCATGTTGAAAAATTTTGATCCAACAAGTGTTGTACTTATTGCATACATGACAACAATTGATCCCAAAGTTAAAATTGAGAAGTTGTTAACGAAAGCGGGTGCAGGTCCTTCGAAAAAGTCTAGGACCACAAGGAAGCCTGAGATTATCATTCCTAGGAAAACTGTTAAAGAAATGATGACATTAACATCTTCAAAGGCGAAGGTTGATGACATAGTTTCAAAAGATGTTGTAAAACCTGTTGAACCAGTTGTTACAGAGCCAACTTCAGTAACCATTCCTTTGAAGACAGGAGTTTTTCATAAATTAAAGTTGAATTATGGTGGTTCTCCTACTTCGAATGTGGTTCTCAAGCCTCATCTTACTCACCAAGGAGTACTTATGCGTGAAGTCCCAGCTCCAGTTTCTTCACACTCAAAGAAACGAAGGGTTAAGGATATGGCCAAAAAGATTTCAAAGAAGAAAAAGAAGACGAAGAAGAGGCAGTTAGTCATTCCAACTGAATCATCCGAAGAAGAACAAGTGCCAAAAACACCCAAACCTGAACCTATTACATATCCTACTTCTCCTGAGAATATTGTTGTCATACCACCCAAAGTTTTGTCTACCAAATCATCGTATGAGGAGGTATGAACTTCAGACATCACTGCAAACATATCTGATACGGGTGCAAATTTCATCATGGGTTGAAGGAGATTTAACGAAGAAAACTACTCAACCTCCACAAGGTACTCTACTTATTGTTTCTCTCGAACCTGTTACAAGTACCTTTGTTTCTTTACCTCCTTTCATCATCCCTACTACTTCTACCACTTATCCACCAACATTCTAAAACATTATTGATCAACCCTTTACATCCATCTTTTCATCACAATTCACTGATCCACCAAAACCAAATGATAAATCTGACGATGAAGAAGGAGGCTTTGGCGGTACATTTGACGATTTGGCCTTTCATAAAGAAGAGGAGGATTTTCCTGATCATATGCTCATGTCCATGAAACAATTCAAAGCTCTGAATTATAAGCTCAATTCTATTATTCAGTCACAAGCAGACATGGGAGGAGGAAGTTCGACTTCGAATTTTGAAATGGATGCGTTAATGAAAGATTTTTTAGGCCAGAATGATGAGTCGAGTGTCTGGAATGATCAGAGACTCAGAATCCAGAATCCTGGAGAGGATTAATTCTTTCGATTCGAAGTATGTTGGAGCGGTGAAAGAATTCACGAACATTCAAAAGGAAAGACATACATTGTTTGTTATGGACGTGAAGAAGGTAAGAGAAAATGTGAACTAGAAGCTTCAAGAGCTTCGTGATGATACGGTTCGTGAAGTTGCAGTTGTGCAGAATGATTACACCACTTTGCATAAGAAAGTCGATATCATTTGTGATGCGGTCACGAAGTATGTAATGTTGTATGAAAGCTTGAGTTATCAAACTACTCAACTTTCTACAACTAACAATCAACAATTTTGGGAGGTTCTTTCGATGCTTAAAGACTTAAAGGAGTCAGTGCTCAAACCTGCTACATCTTCCCTTATTACTCAAGAGTTTCTTTCCCAAAAGTTTACACAGTTCGAGGCTATCCTTTATAAACAACTAGCTCCACTATGAACTATTTCGAACCTTCTTCCAACTTGTGCCCCACCTATTCGAATAGGGGTGCAAGGGGGAGAAAGGAGAGTTGGAGAAGGATCTCATGCGAAGGCTAGAGGTGATGCTTCGCAGGGAGAAGCTAAGGTTGTGGATAAAGTTTTTCCTTCAAAGATTCCATCGACTAAGCCTACAATTTCGAGTGTTGGACCAGTTACTTCAACTGTTGTAACGTCCATGCCAATCATAAAGCCGATTTCGAAAGGGATTGTTATTGGATCTACTAGCCAAGATGAAGCTTCGAAAACAAAGGATGCTACAGATAAATCAACAAACAAAGGCAAGACAATTGTTGCTGCAAAATCAAAAGAAGAAAAGAAAGAAAAAGTCGAAGCAGAGATCGAAAAGCTGAGGGTAGTTCAAAGCATAGTAAGACAAAGGGCGAGTGATCCTCCAGGTTTAAACAAAGGTGATCCCTCCAAAATTTATAACTACGAAATGATAGAGGAGAAGGTGGCTTACAACCACATGTATGCATTTGAGAAGAAACCAAAACAAAGTTGCACGGTTTCAAATGCAGACATGAGCCAGCTGGATTTTCCTCATGCCTCAATTCAAAGTGTTTGATAAATTCAAGAACGAAGACGAATATAACTACATGAAGCTTCGTTTTCATACAGTTCTTACGAAGGCTCCTGCAGAAATATGGTCACTTGTAAAAATCAAGAAGGTTATAAGCATCAAGATGGATGTATTGTTTGAAGACATGATGCAGAATGTATGGTTCATTGTTGCAAGGGCTAATGGTCAGACTTGTGATTTCACAGTCGCACATTTTCCTCAAATGAATCTTTATGACCTCATTCAAATGGCTCTTCTCCTTAAAGATAAAAATTCTTCATATCTTTGAGAAACAGAACCTGATGTTTTTCGATTAGGAGTGGCTCACATTAAGATTTTCTTGGAGAACTATTACGAGTGCTTAGTACTTACTGATGTGGAGCTAGCAACAGTGAAAGGACTTGAAGTCAAAGTACCCATTGAGTCATCCAAATCTCACCAAGAATTGAAGAAATATGCTGATGGGGAAATACGCTTGAAGCCTTTTGGTTTAGTTTTTGCTGGTAAAGATAAGGCTGAAAAGTCGAAGAGATTTTTGTTCCAAGTCACTGAACTTTAAAGATATACAATGTCTCAATATACAAACTTCATAGTTCATATGAATAATTGCAAGAAGAAAAACAAAGGATATAAGAAGGAGCTGAAGAAGATTATTTAGGGTACACGGAAGTTTGAGGGGTGATGATGTATGCCATCCAGATTCTCACAACCTGAGAATTCGACTTCATTCCAAAGGGGGAAATTGTTAGGGTCGAAGACATTTTGTAATGAGTTGAAGACCATACCCTTCATGTACTTATAATGTATTTACTAAGACGTCTCTTTGTACGAAGCTGAAATGTAATGTCTTAGTATTTTTTGTATACTTTCTTGTTCCCTATAAATAGGAACTTTACTTAGAGTTAGATAAGAAGTCTTTACAGAAGCTTATCTTTGCACTCTCTGTAAAAACTGTGAATGTATAATAGAGTTGAAACAAGATCATATGTACATCTCGTGTTCATTCATATCATATTCACTCTGATTTGATTCTCTTTTACTTGATTAACGATTCTTCAAGGACACCACAGTTAAATGGTGTGGCTGAGAGGCGTAATCGAACCATGTTAGACATGGTTCATTATATGATGAGTCATGCTTAACTTCTTATTCATTTCTGGGGGTATGCCTTAGAGATAGCCGCCCACATGCTCAATCTTGTCCCTACAAAGAAGGTTGCCAAAACACCTCACGAAATATAAATAGAGAAAGTTCCCTCATTAGCACATATTAAAGTATGGGGTTGTGAAGCTTTCGTAAGACGAGAGACTCACGACAAGCTATCAGCTAAAAGTGAGAAATGTGTTTTCATTGGTTACCTTATACAGTCTTTTGGATATTTGTTCTACAGACCTAGTGAAAACGTGTAGCACGAAGAGGAGTCTTTCTAGAAAGAGAGCTCATATTCAAAGAGGACAGTAGGAGCACCATTGACCTTAAAGAGATTCAAGAGTTAACCAATAAAGGAACCTTAGATGACACTAGCACTCAACCAGAGGAAATAGTTCTTGTTGAAACAGTTGATAACTCATTACGTCTTCGAAGTTCCACCTCAGTTATATGGTTTCCATATCACTTCAAATGGTGACACATTTATCAGTGATAGGACACTGGTAAATCTGGATGAACCAGCTAATTATAAAGAGATAATCGTAGGCCCAGAGACTTCCAAGTGGAAAGAGGCAATGGACAGCGAGATAAAATCCATGTATGACAACCAAGTTTGGAATTTGGTTGATAACGCACCACGTCAAAAGACAGTTGGGTGCAAATGGATCTCCAAAAAAAAGACCGACGTGGATGGAAATGTATATACATTCAAGGCTTGACTGGTTACAAAAGGTTTTACCCAAATCGCTGGGATTGATTATGATGAGACATTCTCACCAGTAGTCAAGATTAAGTCTATAAGGATATTGCTCACCATAGCTATCTTTCATGACTATAAAATCTAGCAGATCGATGTCAAGACTGCTTTCCTTAACAGGAAGTTGGATGAGGATGTTTACATGAATCAGCCAGAGGGCTTTATTGATTCAAATTTTCCTAATAGAGTGTGCAAGCTTGAGAAATCCATTTATGGATTGAAACAAGCATGTCTCGTTTGGAATCTTTGCTTCCATGAGAAAGTTAAAGAGTATGGTTTCTCAAGGAATGAAGATGGTTCCTGCATGTATATCAACGCTAGTGGGCATATAGTAACTTTTCTTGTGTTATATGTTGATGACATATTACTCATTGGTAACAATATTCCGACCTTGAAAGATGTTAAGTCTTGGCTCGGAAAGTGTTTCGCCATGAAAACCCTTGGAGAAGCTGCCTATATTCTTGGGATTAGAATATTGAGAGATAGAAAGAAGAGACTAATTGGACTTAGTTAGAGCACATACTTGGACAAGGTACTAAAGAGGTTTAGTATGGAAAATTACAAGAAGGTAGAGCTACTTATCCCAAGCAATACCAAATTGAGTAAGACTCAATGTTCGAGTGTAGATGAGGAAATAGCTTACATGAGTCGTGTACCTTATGTTTCCGCTGTCAGATCGATCATGTACGCTATGACATGTACTCGTCCTGATGTGGCCTTTGCTTTAAGCATTGTCAGTCGCTATTAGGGAAATCTGGGTAGAGCTCATTGGATAGCGATAAAGAATATACTCAAGTATTTGCAAATGACAAAGGATTGGGTCCTTGTACTTGGTGGTAATGATACTTTGAGAGTAAATGGTTACAATGTTGTCAGCTTTCAAATGGATACAAACAACTTCCGTTCTTAATCTAGCTAGGTATTTCTACTGAATGGAGGAGCAGTTACTTGGAAAATTTCCATGTAGGATATAGTGGTTGATTCTACTTGTGAATTTAAGTACATAGCGGCGAGTGAAGCATCGAAAGAAGCCGCTTGGTTGAGGAACTCCATCAGAGATATCATGGTAAAACCAGACATATCGACAGAAAGTACCATTTCATAAGACATAGAGTAGAAGAAGGCCATCTTTTTGTAAAGAGGGTATTATTTGAGGATAACCCAGCAGACCCCCTCACCAAGGGTCTGAGTAGGGTTAAGCATATTCAGCATGCTCGGAGCATTAGACTGAGAGATGATATTATTTTTAGCAATTAGATTAGTTTTATTATGAAACTTGTTACAAAGTAAATGTAATTGACTTTTGGTGATGAAATAATAAAGTATTATTCATTAGTTTTATTACTGCTTTTGTCAATTGTTTATTACTGTGTTTCAATTTTGCATGTTTTACTTCCCGAATAATGTGATTATTGAAATTTCGCGGTCGTTCGTACTTTTGAAAGTAAGTAATGAATTAAGAATGTCATGAATTGTATTACAGATTGTCTAAGGGAGTTAGATATAGCAATATAATTGTTGGAATGTTCATGAGTACTTAGAAATAGAGATTTGAGTATTGGATAAACCCTTGCTCAGAGTATTACTTTATGGAATTCATCACGAGTAATACTGAGATGATAATATCTTATAATCTTGAAACGGAGAAAAATAAGTTGTAATTTACAAGTGGGTCATGCATTGGTGATACGAAAATGCATCAGTATCTTGGCATTATAAAACGCATTGTCATGTATGGTTCGATGAGTAAAAGATGCAAGCATATGAGTCAAATTTTATTCGTTCCTTTTTCCCTAACTGGAAAAGCGATATCTGTGGGCCCCTCGATGATTTGGTGTTGACTTATGTGATGGGCCCAGCCAGGATTGAATTGATGTGTTCAATTAGAAGTCCTATATCATCACGAATCAGAAATCGGGAAACATAGATTCTAGACAAATATCACATTCCATGTCTTATGTCTAGGGATATCTTGCAGAACGAAGGATTATATAATCACTTATCTTAGGACACGTGACTAACTAGGTCAGAGTTCGGCAACAGCTTTTGGAAGCTACAATTTGC